GGGGGGAGAGCTGTTAGCGACTCAAACGGCTAACGGATCGCCTAAGTAATTTACAGAAGAAAATGACAAAGTGTCGCCTAACACACCGGTTGAACAGCCACATCGCGTCAAGCAATAGTTCGTCGCGCGTCCTACCAGTCAACGGCGGAGCAACCAGTCGCAGCGAAATCACCGCTTGTCGAACCGCCCTGGGTGGCGCCACGGCGACGGCGGATCGAGGCCGTGATTGGTCGACGCCCGAAGATTAGCTTTTAAACACTAGTTAATTGTCATACCACTGTCAGTGTATATATATGTGTAAATAAAAATTTGTACGATACGGCTCAATTGTAATGAAGAACAATAAACGTCTAAAAGGAAGAACTCTTTTATTGGAAGAACATTCAAAATTAATACAGTCCACTACAAGCGGCAAAAAGACATGTCTGTTGTATTAAGAGGAGCTCCACTTAAATATTTTTTGTTCTGCTTTTTGTATTTGTTATCATAACCGCAACAGAAATACATCATCTGTGATAATTTCAACAGTCTAACTATCACGATTCATGAGAGACAGCCTGGTGACAGACAGACAGATAGACAGACAGACAGCGGAGTTTTAGTAAAAAGGTTCCATCTTACCCTTTGTGTACAGAACCCTAAAAATCGATCCACCTCAAAGAGAAATGCGGAAATGACAAATTGATGATGAAACTGTCGTGGGTCGTCATTATCGCGGCACGAACGTCGTCACGCATTACGATTATAAAAGGCTATGATGGCGTTTGAGCGGTACTTAGATAACAAGATAAAACTCCGTCAAAAATGCACCAATATTTGTACAGTAATCAAGAGCAAATAGCCGCCTCGTTTGGTTCAGTTAAATAAACTAGTCGTTACGTGATGCGCGTGTAACTCGTAGAAGTATCCAATTGTAGACACTGCATAACGAATTTCCGGCAAATGGTAACTTCGTCAAGGTCTCGCCGATAGACGATTCCCGCGCCGAATTAGATTGGCTATCCGGTCGTCGATAACACTCCTGCAGCGTTTCACAGCTGTGCGTTGTCTGATAGAAGGCTGATAAGTAGACCCGATAAGGTGTTACCGAGCGGTAAAGTGTATTCTTAAATGTGATGACACGGAATAGACGATACAAAAGAAGAGAATGAAAAAATGGGAGGTTAGGATGTGGTAAGACAGCGGACGATTGAGATAGTAAACATATAGAACGAAAAATAGATGAGGTAGGATATTGAAGTTTAAAATATATGCAACAGATCTGTGAAAACAGTTTCATGTTTGTGTTGAAATTTTTATATAGATAAAGGTGACGTGATGCAATAGGATTATCTTACAGAGGGCAAAGTAAGGTAAGACACACACATACAAGTACAGGTTTCGAACACTGCAACATTTATGAACTGGGTCTTTAACACAAAAGTAAAGTTTAAAGTTTATCTCGCCTATGTCTTCTCCGTTATAGGAACCTCATTAGGAAACGGTGGTAGATTTATAAAATGTCTACCGATAGATTAAATGCATATTTCTTACTTCGATGAATAAATGATTTGATTTGAAACAAGTATTATATACAATGTGTTAGAGAAGACTTGTTCACATTGTGACGTTAATCGGCATTATAAACTGAAATATATAATGAAGGCGTTCCGCTTACGATAAAACGCAAAGAGTGGAATACTATTATTATTACTTAGATGCCACTCGTGTCCTGAACCCGTTGGAGTATCACATCTATTTATCGTAGCGCAACAACGTCTTGAGATAGCGTACTCGTCGCCTAACAGAGGGGCGAACGTCGGCCGTTAAGGCTCAAGCATTCCGCGGCCAGATAAGCGGTTGGAAACGTAAACACGACGTCACGCGATCACGAGAGACGCGCATGGGACCGCGCAGTCTGACGTGGTGCAGGGCTGGCTTCCGCGGATTGCCACAGCATCACTACGATATATATATAGAATATCTATATATTTATGGTATATAATAAACAGTATGTATAATATAATATATACATGCAAGTATGTCTATGTAAAATTGTAATTATTTTTATTTATGTTGAAGTATATTTAGGTATTGGTGTATAGTGTATTTAGTTTTCCCAAATTCTTTATGAATGACATTTAAAATCTTGTATGTTATTGTAGCGTTAGTACCCGTAACTTGCTCTCAACCACCAAAGGTTAACTGGAAGAAAATGCAATTTAGCATTAAGTTCGCCTTTGTACAAACTTTTAGTGAAAGCAAGAATATATTAACAAACAAACATAGGGATCTTCGGACATAGGAAAATAAATAAGCAAATCTTTATTTACTCCTCACATATCGTCACAATGGAAGACTTCAAAGCATAATTCGTGTCAGAAGAAACAAAAAAAATATGAGGACATGAACACTCACTTGATGCCGAGGGTAATCACTAACCCCTTGTCGAAAGTTATTTTTTTCCAACCCTAGTTATAGGTAAATTAAATTTGTTCTATTTTGTTGTTTAGTTTCACCTTTGTTTATAATAGTCATTAAGTTAAGTTGTATTCTTTTACAGTTAAAAAAATATGAGTTTAAGAGATAAAAAGTCGAAAAATTATTTCGATAAAAAGTCGAAGAATTATTTCGATAAGACGTAGGCTTCAGCTAACATACCCAGACGCTCTAGCCAGCTGAGTCGAGAGCATATAGGAGATTAGTATCCATAGGAATATGGTGTTAGGTTAATCAATCTTGATGAATTGGACTGATCAAGGTATTTGCGATGCTGTAGAAAATGCACGGTCGGACCCGACAGCCCTATGCAAACACATCGGAACTGTAACGAACTCAATTGGGCGCCCAATTGAGAGGGTTCATGACAACCGCCAAGAAGCGGGCACACTGCACGACCTTGCAAATGTGACACGATTAAACGCTAGTCTCACTTTCCGTAGGTAATGCAACGGCTCGTAAGGGAAACGCCTCGTTTTGTTAATATAGGAACCGGGCGTACACGTCTTTTACGTACAAGTCGTTAGGAACCGGACATAAAACCGCTTCAGTTTGATTCAACTTAGTTAGCTTATAAAGATATCTTGTATTTTTTACTCGATACATTACAGATATAAAAGGTCAACGACACTTTAGTCATAGCAATATCAACTTACCAACTTCTTTGTAAACTAAACTAGCGACCTGTCCCTGCATTGTAGAATGTAGATATTGAATTTCTTGGGTTTTCTATATTATACAAACTTTCGCCTATATAATATAGTATAGTATAATATTAGGGTTTGTGATATTTTGTATATGTACTTGGTGGGTTTGTATATGGTGGGGGTTTTTCCTAAAATCACTTCGAAAAAGCAACATTATTATCCCTAATTGTGTATGGGGATTAATTTATATAAATAAAGGTAATATGCATGTATAGAGTTTGTTAAATTTTTTCATTTCTTGTTCGTTTGTAATATGTGAATATACTACATATAAACCTTCGGCTTGTTAATTACTCTATCTAAAGCTGAAAACCGCATTAAAATCCGTTGGGAAGTATAAAAGATCTATGCGTGCAAATATTGGGAGCAACGTATGTAAAGAAGATCAACTATTTTATACTAGCTGCTGCCCGCGACTGCGTCTACGTAGAATAGGCTGAAGGCGTAAAAGTCAGACAGAAAGACAGATAAACAAAAAATATGTATTACGATCACTTCAAAGAGTCTTTGTACATTTTTAACGCCTCTAAGCATTTAAGAAGGAAAAAGTGTCCTTTACGAGGGAAGTTAACCGAGTGTGTGTATAAGGAAAGGTATCATATAGGAAGACGGATACGCTTTCATACAATCTTGTCCCAAGGCTAAAAATCATTAAGATGTATAATTAATAGCAATTTATAGCTTATATTATATCGCCAAAAAGCCCTAAAGATTTTACGTATTTTTGCATCTGAAAGCAGTTACAAGATATTTTGTAAAAGTGAGGAACGGCTGATTCTTGAAGTGTGATTGTCAAGTGTATAATGTCTCTGGCTGCAGACATTTTAGCCCATTTGGGTTACGAATTTCCATCACCTATAGAAGATATTCAGTAAATACAGCGTGTCGTTACCATCGCGACAATAAATGAACACACGTCTAACGCTACTTGCCAATAATCATAAAAAAATGTTAACGTTAAACAAAATCCATAATTAAAAAAAATATTTTTCAAACAAACTAATTAAGCAAAAAATAAAGAAAATTTGTAACATCCTATACAACTCGCGCCACAGCGTCGCATTACAAGCCTCTCCTTCTAACAGTATTTTTTGTCTCTTTTAAATTCATTCAACCCATTCATATGCTTTGTGTATTCATATTCATACCTTTACAAATGAACTTTACGTTACGCTTTTATAGGTAAGGGTGTTCTAAAATTCTTTGTTTTGGAAAATTTAATAACTCTGTAAATATTGATGTTTAAAGAATTTAAATGTTTAATACAACTTTAAAAAGTTATCCCCTACATGTATGTTCATTTATTGTCACGATGGTAACGACACGCTGTATATCAAATATCACTATCAACAATATCAATGTTCGGTCACCGTTATAAAGCTATTATTTTTGGCTTGCGCGATTATTGCATTCATCGTCAAATCATAGTTTTAAATAATCATTATCGGTACGGGTAATAGTTATGGTTAAATTAATAAAAATACATTTTTTAAAATACTTTTTATTCGTAATCAATAATTGCCATTTAGTGCAAAGGTTTTATTATTTTTTTGGTATGAATTCATTCACATAAATCGATTACGGCAATCAATATATTATTCTACGATGAATTGCAACTTATTATAATTTTTGTCCGAGGTTCCACATCACCGTTTCTGAAGCTTTACTTCTTTTAATACATTGTACACACTTTTTTCGTGCTAGTCTCATATTTCGTGCTTCTCTTTATACGTTTGAATATTCGACAGTTCATTAAACACGTTTTAAAAATGTCACGCTTGAAGTTTTCCACGGCCCGGTGTCAAACGACACTGCATGAGCACTCTCGTGACATGTCTTCCGGTTGAGCGGACTACGCAAACGGGTTTGAGGTCGCACGTAACCAGCGCTTAATCAGGCGTCGCAGATACAACGCGCCGATTAGGCAATCTGTCGTATGTTTTACCGTTGGCTTTACCAACCTCAGCCAGCATCATTACGTGCGACTGAGTTTTAGAGCGCCTCTCAAATGATGCCTTTAGTTGGTTTTCACTACATAGTATAAATAAAAGTTGTCCCACTGTCTGTCTGTCCCTATGTATGCTTAGATCTTTTAAACTACGCAACGAATTTGGATGCGGTTTTCTTTACTAGATAGAGTGATTCAAGAGGAAGGTTTATATGTATAATATATTGCACCCGTGCCAAGCCGGGGCGGGTCGCTAGTCAATCATAAAATAGGTGTCATCCACAAATAACTAAGTTTAAACAATTTCAAATATTTTTCAAAAGCTACCTTAATGGAAAGGGCACATTATACAGTCCAGAATACATTGAGGACTAAGATGAGTAGAAATAACTCAACTTACTAGTCACCTGGCTGCGCTGATTTTATACTTGAATAATTTTGTAAAGTAATATAATTAAAAAATTAAATAAGAGAATAATAGCGCGTTTTCATACTGTTTCTTCTTTAGGCAGGTCTAGTTTAGTGAAACAGTGGTAGTTTTTTAGAAGAAGAAAAGACATTTCGACTTTGACTGAATTTCATCACGTTGTTTTTTTGTATTGGCGCTTGCGTTTACTTTTATAATAGAAGCTGATTTAAATACTGACAGGATATACTGTAAGTAATTGAGCCTGTGAGCGTCGGTTCGACAAACATTTGCTTCAAGGAGAAATAAAAACCACATTCCCGGGCGTTCGTAAGCGGCCGCGCATACCTCCAAGGCTGTCGCGTACGTGTCGATCCATATCGCAGGAATTAATTTCGTACCGCTAGCTAAGTACAGGACGCGTCACGCGCCGTGGCGCTCTGCTCCCACGATAAGGCGACTGGCAAGTTGGCCGGCTGTTTGGAAGGCGGGTCGCGTGCCAAGTGCGCCCAAAGATTGGCATTCGGGCCGAGTTGCAGTCGCCGCACGCCCCATTGGCAACGTCACTGGTACGCCTGGGAACGTCCTCGAAGTTGGGTAAGCCTTTTCGTAATTCCTGGCACAAGCTCGTTACGGACAAAGTCTGGGGTTTCGACGTTCATTGATAGACATTGAGGAATTTCACAAGTCCTGACATCTGAAATATCTTCGGATATCTCAAATTAAATGAAGATTTTTTAAATTTCTTTTATGTGATAAGTTGGCTCGCGAGATGGCGGTTCACCTGCTGTTAAGTGATAACCGCCGCACATGGACATTTGCAACACCCGTAGGGTTGCAGATGCGTTGCCACCTTTAAATAAAGTGGTCTCCGGCTATCTCACTCACCAGACGAAACGCAGAAGTATGACTCTTCCACTTCACGCTGATCTTCTGTGAGGTCGTGGTACTTACCCGGACGGACCTGCCCATTCGTCTAACAGCTGCAGCTTTTGCGTGGCCCTAGCGCAATAAAAGAACTAATGTAATTAATATTTATGTTTTCTTTTAAATATTCTTCAAAATGACAAACAGAGAAGTTCCATTTAGACCCGACAATTAGGGTTTTTTTTTAATTTTTTTATGTGTATTTTACATTATGTGTTCTACAAATCGACAACCATCCCTCCACAATGTACGATACGTGACAGTGAGAGAAATAGTCATCATCATCATCATCATTTCAGCCTGTTTGAGTCCACTGCTGAACATAGGCCTCCCCCATAGACTGCCACGAAGTACGATCCTGAGCCACCTGCATCCATCGACTTCCCGCACATTTGCATAAAATTTCTCTATTGTACTATTTCTGTGAAAGAAATAGTACGATAGAGAATTTTTATTTAGAGTAATCAACGCTAAAATACGAAAAGGAAACTAATGGGCGATTGATGATTGACGTTTTTTAGTCTCTAGCTTATACTTTTACTCACACTGATGTCTTTTCAGTCAGTAGACTATCATCTTCATCGAAAGTAGAGGTGTGATGTGGTGGAAGGTATATCGCTCACGGGTCAACGAGTTTCGGTAAGGTCCGTGATTCCAATGGCCGTTGATAGTACAGATCTTTGATTAGACGTCTAGATCTTTGGCCGATAGTAAAGAAGAACCTAGAACGCAGGTGACCCTCTTCCTTATTCACATTGACATGTGGTGGAAGTAACGCGTTGAATATTCCAGTCAGTGTTTATTTATGTAGCTCTTATAGAAGATTATGTATGGATATATGTATGGTGTATTCAATTATCATGTACTCTAGGGAAATTTAGGACTTTTCTTCATGAACTCTCAGGTTTTTACCCGTAACATCGTTGCACAGCACCTGCGCCAATCGAGCTAGTTACATGACCTCTATTGCCGCTCTCCTAGGATCTAACGAATGTCAGGTATCACGTGCACTAGAAAACCTACAGTCCTTACTTCTTTCTAATCAGACATCAGCAAATATCAGTGGTGTAATTTTACCAACGCACTTTAAATGTTACATAATCACCGTAAAGACCCATTTACACGGTGCAAGTTTCTTGCCTGTTGTATACAATTAAATTGAAGCAATAAATGAGTTGCATGGTCTAAACAACAAATGGTCTAACAAATTATTGCGCGCAATTTATTGCATTCAATTATTGCTCTTGTATGTACAAGAAAATGGCATCGTGTAAATGGGCCTTAAGTATAGATTGTGAAATCGAACGTTAGTCGAAAAAATTTCGAAATAGACGTAACTCACATTCAGCAAAGTGTTTGTTTAACTGCGTCGCCTTTTTTAATCTGTTTATTAAAAAAGTCAATCTTAACAGAAAAGTAATCTCCTAACACAGTACAGTTAAGGCTAAACTCAACGACAGGTTAAGAAAGATTCGGCGGGAAATTTGATATACACTGTGTGGCGAAATTGGAACTAAATATATCAAAATGTGAGGGGGGGGGGGGGGGGCGGAGGAATCGTGAGCCAGCAATCAGGGTATATACCGCAAACCGCAGACGTTAAACAGATTAATGGCGGTGACGCAAAACGCTCATTAACGAGGAGTTAGGGTTGTTCGCGTTTCGACGCTAAAAAGAAGGCACACAGCCTCTGACGCACTTCGCCCGATATTTAGAGATATTTTCCTGGGCCGGTGTAAACAAGTTCATGTGTACATTACAAGTTTGTTGTTCGCGTCCGCGTGGTGAACAATTTTAAATTGAAGGTAATCGAGTTTTGGTCACGCGTAAATGGAAAAATGTATTATTGATATTCATGGAAGCCTGCTTGCCGAAGCTTCGCAAAGATACAAAGTCAAATTTGGGTCGCGGGTGAAAAATATCCTTATATTTTGATGGTTGGTTTTCCTCCCTTCTGAAGAACAAATGATTTTTTATTGGTAATTTTTACTTATAAAAAAAACTGTTTAATGAATTACTCATATGCAATTTTACTGATTTAAATAATAATTTCCAAAATGGCGATATGACGAGTTAATACAGACCTTACCAGGCCATTAAACATTTCAGTCCGCCTCGTAATCATGATGAATGATATTTGAAGCGATGGGAGTTTAAGTCAAAAATATAGCTCGATAAAAATCATAAACTAATTTTATTACCTTTATTTATATAAATTATAGCCCACACACAATTAGGGATAAAGATAATGTTGCTTTTTATAATTGTTTTTAGAACCCATTCAGTATATTCACATATTACAAACGAACAAGAAAAGCAAAAAAATTAAAAAAAAACTAATAATGTTAGCATAGTATAATAAATGTGACTATGCCGCCATTTCGACTAATTTATTTATTTAACAAGATGATTAATGATAAGATTGAACATTATGTTTGGCTAATTGGAAACTTTGAGTGGGATACATAGTTTCATTTTCATCAAATGGGTATCCTAGACTGACTCTGAAACGCAAATAATTTCGCTAAAAGAAATTGAATCTGACGCTGGGCAATGGCAAAACTAAATCACGCTTTTGTAGATAGCCCCATTAAATTAATATATTATACCAATCGAATTAAGAACCTTCTCCTATTGCAGTCGGTTAAAAAGTAGAAAATAGTTTTCAATACATTTAAGAATGGTGTGATTCATAAAGAAAAATTTAATTGTATTAATATACAAAAGCGAGGTTTTTTAAACTATAATTTATTTTTAATTTTTAGTTCGGATAACTACAAAGTATTTTTCAGTTTTTTATACTATAATTTATCTTTTTTTTTGTCTTAAGACGATGATAATTTCGTTGCAGCGAACAAAATCGGCTGTTAATAAACGTTAATAAACAGCGAACCCCGAAAATCCTGGTCAGGAAAATGGAATGAGCTTATTAAATTGCTGCATTGCCATCGATCCTCGATAAGTGTGCAAAGTTTCAATTAAATTTGCCGTTCCAAGATTTTTTTATATACAAACAAAGATAATAAAAGCGTGTTGCGAAAATTCAAACAAACAACCAAAACAATGAACCTTAACAAACGGTATACTCCGGCAGCGTTTGCGTCAGCGCGCAATTATCTCGTGGTGGATAAATTTTTACGCCAATATTTATTTCTAGCGCGGGGCTCAGTGACCGGGTGTTGCATCACTATTCGATTCGTCAATATCGATGACTTGACAAGAAGCTCGTGATGTTGACGATACTTGTGATATTTCTCAACGCTGTTCATTAAACGTTCACGTGATACATTGCTGATGTTAATGAAGTTTTTTTTAAGTGAGAAGGTGGCAAGGGAGCTGGTGTTTCACCTGATGGTAAGTGATAACCGACGCGCATTGACTTTGGCAACACCCGTACTGTTGCAGATGCGTGGCCACCTTTTAATGAAGTGGGCCCTAGCTACCTCACTCACCAGAAGAAACGCAGAAGTATAACACTTCCTCTTCACGCCGGTCTTCTGTGTGGCACTTACCCGGACGGACCTGGCCATTCGTGCGATAGCCGAAGCTGTCAACTGTATTAACAAAAGACGAAACTGACTTCAAATATTTCGCGCACTGTACATGTTATTCTATGTTTTGAGGCATTCCCCGATTTATCTCTGGAATCTAAGGTCCAATACCAATGAAATGAATATGGGACAACATGGAAGCTAAACAGAACCCAATGCAAATAGGATTTTTACAATCAGTTCATTTATGACCGAATTTTAAGGTAACAATCATAAAAAAAAAAACAATCGTTTTATTGCGAATCTCATCTTATTTGAAGTCGGTTTAAATTTTGTTTATTGCTAGATGTTACATTTAGATTCTGTTAAATTAGACTTCACAGATAACAAAATGGCGGGAATCCAATATCTGTGCCTGTCAGTATACGAATGAGAAGGTGGTATGTTAACATTTAATGGTGTTTTTAAAGAAGAAACCGTGCGCGTAGAAGTGATCGTAAATGTCAAAAATAATTTACAACGCGTATGTTGTCAAGAGAAATCGAAATGGCCAAGTGCGAGACCGATTCGCATGGATTCCATATCTAAAGTTCTTACTATTTTCTTGTATTTTGGCTGTAAGTTGTTATTAGGATTCCGTACCTAAAGGGTAAAACGGGACCCTATTACTAAGACTCCGTTGTCTATCTGTCTGTCTGTCAAGCTGAATTTCTGTTGCCACTATAACAATAAATAATAAAAAAAATTAAAAAAAATTACAAGTGGGGCTTCCATACAACAGACACGATTTTTTGATTGCCGTATTTATACACAATGGTACGGAACCCTTCATGCGCGAGTGCGACTCGCATTTGGGCGGCTTTTTTTTTCTTCTTCAATTTGCATACATTTTTATGTGTCCGTTTTAAATATAATATTTAGACAAAAATCACTTCGTTTTAATTGACTCGAGAATTACGTGGGAGAATCTTTCATTTATTTTTATTGTTTCGCTATATAAAATAATCCTTTAAAATATGTTTCTAAAAGTAGACTGTTCACAATGATATAAAAGAGAGCCAGATAGAAAGGAAATAACACAGACAGCGCTACCCACAATCTTAGGGCAAAAAAAACAAATGTACAATCGCGAATGAAAAAGAAAACAACGATCATAAACATTCCAATGGAAATACGACCGCAAAGTGATTTTATTCATGAGCGTACATAACGCGACACGTACACACGTCAACCGAACGCATTACTTCATGATTCATAGAACAACAGTGTCCTCAAAAATCAAAAGCTCGAAATAAATGTACAACACGTAGGTATGTTTCATAAAACTTTGCAAAGTTCATTTTACGTATCATGCGTATATTATATGGTAGACAACAGTTCTTTTAATTTGTCATAATGCATTTATAATCATAATTATATTCATTATTATGGATTTATGATCATAATTATATTCAGACAGGGGTCTGTCCCGTGACCATAAACGCTGTATTCGTCGAAATGTCGGGAGGTTAAAATCAAAATAAAACGCGATAGAGTAGTTTTCTTACTGATGTCCTATTTATGATCGAAACTACAATACAGCTCGCAAAGGCAGTGGAAATCATGATTGAAACAGTAGAATATCTCACGTCTAATCTAATTTTAAATCAGTCAAGGTTAATTATATTTTTACGCACACGTTTACATCCAAATTATGATGTAACGGTATGTAAAAAGTTACACTCTGGGTTAATGATGGAAATACGTATATTATATTAAATATATAAAACCTACAAATTCCAGGTGGCAAAAGAATTGTCCGTAAGATCGAATGCGGAAGAACTTACCTAAGACTGTAATGTATGCTCAGACTTACATGTACATGACTCAAACTTATAACAATAACGCTAAAACAATAAAACTAAAACGCTTTCAAACGGTGTGCCCTCACCATTTTTTGAACACAACATAAATGAATCAATTCACCGATACGCTTTTAGTCAGATTTTAACATTGGCATCGAAAGCGAACAGCATAAATATTATGTTACGTCACTCTCTGGTTAGCATGACGTAAAAAATCAAAGGCTGCGATAGCTCGGCGTGTGGGCGCTCGCTTTCAATTCAATATACTCGAGCAACCTAAGTTCAAATCTCGGTGCTGGCACCAACGTTATTGTTAATTTGCAAATTTTAACTGCTCACTTATCACAAGCTCAGCGGTGAAGGAAAACCTCGTCAGGGAAGCTGCATATTTTCGTAATAATAAAAGAAATCGAAGAAATGTTAAGTCGGCCAATCTGCAGCGCGGTCGCGTGGTTATCTCCGAGTGGAGGGTGTTAGGGCACAGAGGCCTTTGCCCTAGAGTGGGCTACATAGGCTATTTACTTCTTTTTTTTTTAATTGTCCTAACTTTACCATGAACCATTACGGTACCCATTATCCTGTGTTGTAAGGACGTTTTACATACAGAAATTTCACGCGGACCAACACCCAGAAGCGAAACAACTATCTGTGGATCTCATAAATAGTTGTCCCGTGTGGTAATCGAACCCACGACCCCCGACGACGAAGCCAATGCCTTGGCAACTGCGCCACGGAGTACCAAACTTTTACTAAACAATATGAACGCAGCGCGCCGGTACCAACCGCAGCGAATTCGCTGATCCAATTGCGAATAACATTGAAGCACTGTCGCTGATGGATGGGCCGAAAATTAGCGAGGACGAAAGATCGACGACGGAGCGTGGGCCGAGGGGGGCAGTGGCCGGGGGGAGGGGGCAATTTGGCCGGTTCGATGACGGTCAGGCGCTTAACGCGTCAGCACCAAATCCCCTGGGCCGAACTGCCGACGAATGGGAACCATCGTTTTCCTCGTCGTGATCTCACAGTAACAGATGAACGAAATAAAAACATTTTTTTTAATGTGAGAATGTAGCAAACGTGCTGGCGGTTCTCTCGCATACATTTGTCTCGAGTTGGTTTTCATCATTGGCCAAACAAACGGTGTCTGTAACATAATGGTCACCTATATGAAGAAACATCTTGTATAGGTCGTGCCGTTCCCTTTGTTTGTTTTAAATAATAGATATTAAGTACATTACTGGTTAACAATTGTATTTGTATACGATTATGTGTTTAATTCGATCTAATTTTATAAGCGTACTTGAAACCGGAGCCAGTTACCTTTACAAAATAATGTTTAAGATTAAATCATGAAGTAGGTACTTTCATTTTTGAAGTTATACTTCTTTTGGCGCGTTAGGGAGAATATGTCACAAAAAATCGACACCCTGAAGTTAGCTAGACATCTACGTATGTTTGAGTAAGAACGGACAACTGTATTCACGATATTTATTTTGTGATATTCAAATAAACTTTATTTAATAAGATAATGCGTCATAATAAAACTTTCAATGTGTTAAATAGTTATTTTTTCTTAGTTTTTTCTAAAACTTAAGTTCGAAGTATAAATTCTAACGCATATACATATAAGTACACACACTCTTTTTATACATTAATTTTAATACATGTTTAAGTAGCACATACGCAAATACCTAGTCTAATGTTTCAGCTCTTGATGTAACAAATCATAGCTCAAATGAAACCAGCAGAAGTTTGGTACTGTATAAAAATGTCCGCTTAGCGTGTCGTTACCACGGGCGACGGAAAAACTGAAAAAAAAACATACCGAACTCAATTCAATCCCGCTATAGTACGAGAAAAAACCTAAATTGATTATCACACTTTTTTTTTAATTTATGGTTTTTTATTTGTACCGGTCGTATATTTATTGTTATTTTTAAATTTATGATTCTATATTTGAATCGGTCATATATTTATTATTTTTAATTTATGGTTCCATATTTGAATCGGTGGCATATTAGACGCGGATTTCACATGGCGGACCGCGCCACTATTCGGGGAACGAGAATTGGCAGCCGTGACCGCCAATGGCCGTATCAATTACGAGGCGGGCGGGCGGATCGGACGATCAGCTGATTCACCTCGATCGAATTTAGTGTCGTGACGACGAAAAAAAAACGCGTATTATTTTTTTTAATTCCCTATTCAAATATAATATATGCATAAGAAAACAACACAACAGCTCAAAGTTCAAATATAGAATCATTAGTAAAAACAACTTGAGTAAAAGCGTATTGTTTTTCTAATTCGCAGTTCCAATAAAGAATTCTAGGTAAAATATATACGAATTAAGAAACAAGAACAAGATCATTTTTTTAATTCTCAGTTCAAATGTAGAACCAATCGTAAAAAAATATTAGAATATTAAGAATGAAAAAACAAACTTTTTTTTGGAGATTATAAAACAGTTTTTTTTTTTTTCAGTTTAACAACACGGATAAATTTTTCATCTACTTTAAAAATAGATTCAAAAAACCAACGTCAGTTTCAGATAAAAATACGCGCTATGTGTACTTATTTTTACGCCGAACAATTTATAGTGACATTGTGACAATGTAGTAAATAAAGCTGTATAATTGTCAGTATATCTGTTGCGTAAAATTCTACTTTTATCGTAACGATTCTGAAGTCTGGTCCAATAACATTAGTAACCATGTTATTGTTATATCGATATCGGTTCTTATATAAACGCATGATTCCGTGTCCTGTAAGTCCAACCGTACGTGGAATTAACACTTACGATTGCATATTCATACCTGTTCATTACTTTAATTTGTCAGGTAAGGTTTATAATAAATAAATAGTTCGAGCGCTTCAAATTGTTTTCGCTTCTCCTCCCTATTGAATGAAACTTTATTATTATTAATAATAATGTATTTATTTGCGAAATATAGGTTAGGCATGAGTGTGTACAGTACAGTAATTTTTATCGCTATATTCTACCCATTTTGTAGGGTGTGCAAATATGATATGTTCGCTTAAAGGTTGTCAGTATACATTTTCAAATTTCTTAATTATTATAATCATAAAATAAAATTGAAAAAATTATATAACAGAATGTTAAAATAATATTAAAACATATGTCTATGAAAAAGTAAGTTAATAAATACATATTCTGCATGTCTTGATTAATTATTATATCAGTATTAAAATTTTCACTATTTGCAGAAGTTTCGTTAAAAACGGGGATTTAAATGAACTTTGAGTATTCTGGATCGTTGAAAACGATTAATATTAGCAGCGTTGCCCAAGCTCGAACCAGCTCGAATTCCAGATTCGGGCCACGTACGAGGGAAGGACGACGTGGGACAATCGCGCACGGCTGAATCTCAATTGACTTTGCCTTTTCCTTTGCGACATAAAGCGAGACGAGTTAGCTGTACGCTGACGATTGAGGCGAACATAGGAACGACTAATATAACTCCATTTTTTTTTATAATATGATTATTGAAAAACTACAAAATTTTTGTAAATATACCCTTAACATACAAGTCTTAAGCGATATTTATTTTAATTTAAGTTTGGACAGGATATCTGTTTCAATAATTTTTCCTATTCATGCCTTCAATTTGTATTTAGACAACCTGTTTCTTCTACATTTACTCACAAAAACTAGATTGATATTCTACACATGGTCTTTATCTACTCAATAAAAATTAGAGTAGTATTAACAGGTAGAACATTATTTTTAAATAAATATAAAACAGACTTCAAATATGTCAAAACTATACATTTTCTATTTCATTATGTGGAGCTCCCGAGCACAAAGTAAAGTTGAAAAAAAAAAAAAAACATCCACAACAAAAAAAAGTTACTGCCGAACATTGAATATTCTTTAAAGTCGGATAAAAGTAAAGAACATAACAATTAATATGTCACTGTCTAGTCAAATACAAATTATAACAAATTCTACAGATACAGCAGGCATAGATGCAACCGCGGGAGATAAATAGAACACTAGATCAATAAAAAGGAAAACGCAAATGGAGAGCGGCCAATTTTCGAACAAATGGCCACTTAATAAAAGAACTGAACGTAAACAGTTTTGCGGCGTTAAACACACGGAGAACGGTCTAGATCTCACGATCGCCCACATCAATATCCGCGATGTTTCAATCCGCTCGCGAAATGGCGCGCATAATCGTTTAGACGGCAATAAATCTTCTGGAATTGCGAAAAATTCGCATATAACTGCGAACGGAGCAGAACGGCCGTGTGCACCAAGTCCTTTCAACACACTGATTTGAGAAAAGGAAAATTAACTAATACTTTTAAAAATTACTCTTCAGTTTAAAATTAATTTTTATTTTTAGAGCTACTAGTCTTTCCTAGTCTCAAGATGAAACTTACTATGTGAATTTTTGCAGATTAAATGAAGACGATTCACCCACCTCGACGAAAGTTTTTGGCCATTCAGCTACAAAAAATCATTTTGAATAATTACACTATAGATTTAGAATTGTTGTTGGCCATACCTACATTCTTCAAAGATTTAGCATAGGCATCCAAAGTTTAAAAAAAATCTTACAAATATTAACATCGGACTAATGCGAAATAAGTTAATTATCTCATGCCATAATTATTGACGATTTTTTTACTTGTATGCCATTATGAAATTCTTTATGCTTCATTATTTCATGATAAAATTCACGATTCTCGGCAAACAGAGTGTACCTTAAAGGTTTTGTTGAGCAGACAGTTTCATGCATTTCCTTTGCATCGATTCGAAAATTTAATCCGTTAAGATTCTTCCAATGGCAAATTTTTCTTCCATATCAAAAAATACATAATGTGCGTGCACTCGTTCTAAAAAAAGGATTATTAAAAATTTCCTGGCATAAAACACCAGAGGGGTCAGATGCTAATTTGTCATCATTTTAGCCTGTTCTAATCCACTGTTGAACCTAAGCGTCCACCACAGACTGACACTATCCTGGGCCACCTGCATCCATAGACTCTCCGCCCACTTGCACAGGTCATCACTACATCTATTGGGGTCGTCCTGCACTGCGATTACAACGGTGTTTTTTTAACGCAGCAGCAAAAGCAGACAGCATACAATTAGCTATCACCACCGCTTAAAGACGAACGGCAGGCAAGGCGGTGGTCACCACATCGAGTCGGACGCGCGTCACCGCCTCTCGGTCAGTGGCGTGTCGGTCCCACGCCGGCGAGTCGACACGCTAGATGGCCGCGCTTTCTAGCCACCATCCGCGACCGACGCGGACGGTCGACGCCTGTCTGCCTGAGACCTTGTGGCACGCCCCGCTTGCAATTTCAGATTGCTTTGTTCTAGTAATCGTACCGAATGGTACCAAAATGACGGACATTGCGTTGCCGGCTCAAGAACATCGTCTGTGAAGATGTTACCTATCCCGATAAACTGGCCCAGTCGAATAGGCATGTTTTTACAATTCCTTGTGACATGAAAGTAAAGTAAAGTAACAGCCTATACATGTCCCACTGCTGGGCAAAGGCCTCTATATAAAGGGTATCAGGGCATAGTCCACCACGCGGCCCCACTGCGGATTGGCGGACTTCACATATCTTCGAAATATATATTTTTTTGTTATTATTTCGAAAATATGCAGGTTTCCTCACGATGTTTTCCTTCACCGCGGAGCACGTGATAAGTCAGCACTTAAAGTTAAAAACTTCATCGGTGCCGGCACCGGGGATCGAACTCAGGTTGCTCGAGTATATTGAATTAAATCCGAGCGGCCGGACACTGAGCTATCATGGCTCAGTGTCCGGGCGCTCGCTTGTGACATGACAAGCGTTTAATTTTATTATGTAAAACATATACTTATAGTTGTAAATCGCAGTCTTATGGTAGCCGCAATTAATCTTTTGTTGCGGCTACCATAACACAGACATTATTTGGAGAATCATATTCTTAGAAAGATAAAGTATACGTTTTAGATGATTATAATAAAATAATCACCACACAGAAGTCACAATCGCAGTAAATTTCGTAAGGAAATGTAATAAAGATATACGCATAAATAATGACGCTCACTAAACCTGCCGGCGTGGGAGCGTTTATTGCGGATTCCCTGGCAATTGCCTAACAATGAGAAGAGGTTTGCGCAAATTCTACCGCAACGCCTGGGTTGAACACACCCGTGTGAAATGGTTGCTAAATGTTGAGTTGTTTACTTAGTGGGTACGTGTAATAACACAGTGAAATAAATTTTACAGTACAAATAAACCTTGACACCCTAAAATAATAATAAAAAGAGAACATAATTAGATATATCAAAGAGAAGATTGTGCGAAAATGGATAGTCGATATGTTTCATTGCTGGCATAAAAATTACATGGATAGTCGATATGTTTCATTGCTGGCATACATATTTTGGCAGGCTGCGTTCATTTTCCCGTTGATGCCAAACACTGCGAAAAATTGTCCTTCACAAGCCCGTTGATGAAGGAAAATTTTTCGCAGTGTTTGCGTGAATATGTGCTGTTAAAGAGACTTCCTGAATAGGTGCAAAGCAACTTAGCGGTTTGAAAGCGAGTCAAACGTAAGGTCCGATGCACACCGAACGCTGTGCGTCGGAACAGTCACGCGCTGCGGCCGCTAGTCGTCACGCGACGTGACGCTCGCCGTCACGCGCCGCCGCGACGGTGTGAATGCGCCTTTACATTTGCATACACGCCTCGAGACCAGCTTCGTGACTGTAACCGTTTCTCGGTCTCAAGGGAGTCTTTAAAAATTATCCTTCCTTACTTTACAAAGAAATAGACGGTACAGCTGATATTGATTAGTTCTACAACTCCATATCCAGTGGGTACCAGTTCCTTCGTTAATCAGCAAAGTAATAATGTTAATATATAATTCAGTGATACATTACAGGTACTGTTTTTTTATGTGGGAATATACCTAAATCGGTATTTTCACATTTTAGCAATCGCAAGAAATGTAAGTAAGCAGACTAATAAATTGTCATGTAAAGATGGCAGACACATTGTTGTTAATTTTCCGAAATCTAATTTTGATCATTGGTACCTAACAATTAAGTAAAATCTCAGATTGCACTTGCTTTTCTATTACGAATATTAAGTTTTATAATAAAAAATTTTTAACATTATATTACTATTGAGTTTTGGATGCGAATTTTAGAAATGTAAACAACATGCTTAATCTTTCAGCGGACATACATAATTCTTTAAATTTGTGCAACTAAGTAGCGTGACTTAAACAAGAGACCTTCATGGTTGGTGGTACACGTGGGTACCAAGACAACTTGCATTATCAAAGATATGTGTATATTATACATTTAAATCTTAACATAAAATTCTGTTTTGATGCATGAAAATGTGTGAGGATCTTTGAAGAGGTAGTAAGATAAAGCTTAAATTACTATGGGATAAGGGCAGAATGATGATGATGAGTCTCTAACTAATTACCGTATTTATTTATTTATTAAGGTTCACCAACATTGGACACATTAAGCATGCAACGCAATTTGAAAAAAAAAATTAAGACGTAAATGTTCCAACAATTACAGGTGGACACAGCTTTCTTAACATAAACTTAAAATAACGTAATATCTACAAACTAGTGTGAGAAAAATTTAACAAAACTAAACTATAATAATTTTTATTATGTTATAACTGTTATTAAATGTATAGATGAACTAACTAAACCGGCAGCATTGAGGCGACGCATCCACTGCAGGGATTAGGTAAGTGCTGTTGTACTTTTTAAACAGTTATTACAGAATAACATCTGGCGCACTCACGAAAATCAATGACAGTCAACAGGATGATGGACTCACATATACGTCCTGAATAAACGCGAACACTGTCAATGGGAAGTGGTCATGTGCTTGCTATTCGAGAATCATAGATCTACCATACATTCTATCGTCTGTTGACCCACGTGGATCTTGAGCAATCATGAGATTAAGACGGTGAAGATTACAGAAGCAGCGATGACGTCACACCACCTTTTGAACACGAGGAATGCGCAGGGCCAATATTGACGCACACAAACGCGCGACTGATAAGATACTGATGATAGCTAGAGCAGATAAACATCTGCGCGTTGCTAATGCCACAGTAACGCCGAAAGTCAACAGTGGAATAGAGAAAATCTTTTAAATTTTACTGGGCTTTTTTGTCTTTGCTTAGCTGAATGTCTCCTGAATTGTAAAAATATAACATGTTTATATTTATATATATTACAACTCAAAAAAGAGGAAAATGCATTATATATCAACCAAAACACTTCCAAAGTAACTACAGCTGTTTAAAAGCATGTTTTAACTGTGGTAGGGCGACGCAACAGCCTTCAATTTTGCACGAATGGGCAGGTCCGTCCGGGCCCTATCTATTTCAGGAAATAAGTTCCTGTTTCCCCTTGCTACATAATGAATAGTACATCAAATTTTCAGTACATTCTGTTTGTATGCTAACAAGAGCAAAATCTCAATTCAAATTTTCAATGTCTGTGTGACCTTCACTCAGTTCTTCTTGATCAAAGTGAAGCTTAACTGTAGTGTAGAGAATAAATAATCCGACGAAATGGTGAAAAATTATGACGTTTTAACATTCAAATTATAATAAATAATACTATTAATGATAATAAAACCGTAATATTTGAAAGCAACCGTGGACTGCAAATAATGCATCCGAAAACCTAAAACAAAAGTAACCTTTAAAGAAACCAATCTCCAATGGAATAACAAGACACTAGACACAAAAATAACCTTCCCACAGAATGGATAGGAAACACAACAGGATTATAACTTAAAAAACGAGTTGAAAATCCAAGTCATCATCACGAGCACCGTGGGCGTGGAGCTTAAAGCGAGTTGGCGTCGAAAACTTTCTCTCGGACAAAGGGCCTGCTCCGAGAGCTCGTAGCACTAAACGTTGCGCATTCCAAGACGCGTTCCTACATAATAAATTTGTGCTTATGTATGTACCTGTAATACTTATTCGTGGACTTGAATAAGGTGTCTTCGGACGAATGTTGTTATTCATGTTTAACCAGATAAATGGGACTATGATCAGATCAGATCACTTTTGTAATAACTTAACTGCTTATTGATTTTTTTTTATATACAAAGAGCAATGTGGTTCAATTTCACATACAAAGATATTGTATAGGAATAGTATTTTTTTATATTGTAAAACAAAATGAATTTATGGATCTCTTTGTGTTTACCTTAAGGGTAAGGTAAAGGTACACGGTGGCGTACACTTTTAACGGTCAACGTGGCTGGAGCGCCGCTGATGTTGAGAATGCCAATGGGCGCACCTGATCGCACACAAAAATAACTATCACAACTATAGCTAGCACAACACAACGCATGTCTTAGAAAGTGTATCTGCTGTTCATCAGTTTCTGCTGTTGCACGAATGAGTAAGCTCGTCCAGGGAAGTACCTAAGACAGGCTCACAGAAGACGAACGTGAAGTGGAAGTATTATACTTTCGCGTATCGCCTAGCGAGTGAGAAAACTGATGTTTTCAAAAGCTGGCAGCGAACCAAAAACTTCTCAAGTTTCGTAGGTGGTCACAGGCAACCTTATACCAAAACATCAGGAACCGACCGCTAGCCAATTTGCCACATAAAATACTGTAGTAGGGCCACGCAACAGTCTTCGCTGTTGAACGCATGGGCATTCCCCGTCCGGGGAAGTATCACCACCTCACAGAAAACCGACTTGAAATAAAGGAGTAATACTTCGGAGTTTCGTCTGGTGACTGAGATAACCGGAGACTTGACATCAGGTGCACATCACTAGCCATCGTCTTACATTAAAAAGAAGCCTCACATCTCCGCACGGCTGATCCGCTGTCGCGGCAACGGGATCCGGGGACGAGCGATTTCCATTTCATCGCGCGCGAATTGGTCACCGACGAGGCGGCGGAGTGGGGCAGGCCGACGCGGCGAGGAGCAAAAAAGAAAGTCCGGTACCGTTCGACGGCCGACATGCCGGACTCAGCCGGCTGCGTTGCATCGACGAACTTGTCCGTTCACAACTCCGGCTGGCTTTAACGGGTCGAACGGGAAACCGATTTTTACTTCTTTCCCAATTTTCTTCTTTTATAATTGATGTTACGCTGTCAGTCCTTGGACTATTAAAGCTTCATCGAACGCAGAACCGGTGGGCTAGCCAGAACCCATAGTTTTGAGGCCCTCTTCAGTGGGTAGGGCCGCGCATGTACTCATGCGTGCGTTAATTATGGCATGTCGCCTGCGGGCCATTGAGGTTCCGTGCGGACCGTGACCCCGATGGCAGTTGACTGTGCTTGGTTGGTTAGTCGGTGGCTAGGGGCGGTGTGAACCGCCCTGGAACGCGGGTGTAACTTTCCCGATTGTTATGTACGCTCTTTCGCGATATTGGTAGGTACTTTTTATTTGTCCGATTATTTCTTCATTCGTTATTAGAGAGATTAAACTTTTTTCGGGGCAGGTTGCAATTGCATAAGGTGTTAAGTTTTGAATGCTAAAGTGTTCCAATAATAGAATTTTCATCGTATAAAATTATAAATGAGAATATTTGTGTTTAATTTTCTATTGTACCCTCTTGTAGCAAAATACCTGTACGGATTTCAATGAAATAGAAAAAAGACCGACAATACGACGACAAAGACTCGCCCCATAGGTAATAGAAAAAATTTTATCGCGAGAGAAAAAAAACTAGAAATCGAAAGAACCACGCGATATAAATGTGAGACAATAATGTCGATGATATAGTGAGGCAGCAGCATCAGTCCGTCTTTGAAGGAGTATGCGATGAGCTCAGGCGTTTTTCATCGTACACAATCAATTCCTCGGAGGCGCGATATCTGCACAGCCACAGCAATTGGTTATTTCTGAGACGACCATTCATTCTATCAGCTCGTCGGGAGCACGCCCGTGCACCGAAATAGCCGCGGAGTCATTGAGAAATATATAGCCGTGATAGCTCAGTGTCTGGGCGCTCGTCTTTAATTCAATATACTCGAGCAACCTGAGTTCGATCCCCGGCGCCGGCACCAATGAAATAGTTAATTTTAACTGCCGAAATATCACGTGGTCAGCGCTGAAGGAAAACATCGTGAGGAAACCTGCATATTTTCGAAATAATTACGAAAAAAATTTTCGAAGATATGTGAGGCCCTGATGCCCTCTATACAGAGGAGGCCTATGCCCAGCAGTGGGACATGTATAGGCTGATACTACTACACTGGGAAACGGGTCCAGCGTAAGTGAGGGAGTCTTGGGAGCAATCCTAGTCGCAAACCCCATTTACGCTCCATACTCGTGAGCCCCAGACACCAGCAGATAATTGATTCGGATTTGGGTGTTTGTCCCTGGAGATGTATGTATGTAAAACGTCTTTACAACGCAGGATAGTGTTATCCCTACAGTAAGAGCAATATTTTTGAAAAAAAATAAAAAAAATGGGGTTAACGAAAATTGTAACATATGTATGGGGAATTAAATGGCGTTGAAAATATTCATGTCATTTTCTCGCAACTTCTAAAATAATAAAATTCCTGATGTTTGGTTTTGAGCACAACATGTTACAGAGAAAACGAAACGGAATTAAAAAAGTATTAAATGTAATACAAATTAAAAGCATAAGCCGAGACGAGTTTACGTATAATTGTTTAAAAAAAAATCGATAAAACTGTCCAGATTTTATTGGAATCATCGCTTTTATTTCAGGAATAATGTAAAAATGTTTTTATCACCATTTATAAATTCTACGAGGATTGCTTCAAGTACTTCAAATTTTGAACATTAAAACAACGGACCTAACCTGTGTCAATAGGCACCATAGTACATCGCACAGCCCAAAACCAGCGTACGGCGATCTCGCCCTTAAACGAACGCGATCGGGGCGACAACAGCGTGCGACCCGCCGGGAGCCGTGCACACGTGCTTACCTGCTGCAAGTGAAGGCAGCCGGCCTTAATGGAGACGCTGACGTCAGGCGGTTAGAAAGTTGTGACTTGCGTCACGGCGCGGGGTGAATGACCCGAGTCGCGCGCCCTCCTTGCGCTAGGGCTGTTGACGCGCGTGTTATTCGAAGGCCTTTTAATTTAGTACGTAACGTTAGAAATATTCTTTTTATGTGAAAGAGTAAGTGATGACCGCCGCCCTTTGACATTTACAACACCCGTAGGGTTGCAGATACGTTGCCGCCTTTTAATAAAGTGAGCCCCGGCTACCTTACACACCATACGCAACGCAGAAGTATAAAACTTTAACTTCACTTTGTGTGAGGTCGTGGTACTACCCCAGACGGACCTGCCCATTCGTGCTATAGCGTAGACTGTTGCGTGGCCCTACCACATTTTAAATACCCTACCAAATATTAGAAAAATTACGTACTACACTAAAAGACCTTCAGTCAATGGAGAATTGGCCTAATATTTAGGCCATTATAGCGATCTCGGGGTGCATGAAAGGAGCCTCCCCGAGCGATGTACATATAGAGTCCGTACGTCCGGCGCACCCTGGGCAACAGTCAAAGATTTTCTCCCACTGACTGGCCAATCCTTACACCACGATGACAAACCCTAATAATTTGTCATCGACACGCAAAGAAGAAGAAGATAGCGATCTCAACCTAAAAATTGACACTGACACTTAAAATATATTTAAAGGTGTCAGCAGATTACCAGAATACCTTCATCCAATACAATGTCGAGCTGAAACCCTTCAACCCAGTATCGGAATAATCTAATATTTTATTATTATAATTTATTATGTCACTTAGATGGTTCACGTTATATGTTACGTTTTTATGTCCTATTATTCCTATTTTTATGTGTAACTCTGTTATTACCCGATTGTTATAGTAATTAAGTATTATTCAGGTTTTATTACGGTGTTCGGGCCACGCAGCAGCCTCGGCTGTTGCACGAATGGGCAGGCCCGTCCAGGTAAGTACCACGACCTCGCAGAAGACCAGCTTAAAGCGGAAGTATGACAAATACTTTCGCGTTTCGTCTGGTGAGTGAGGTGGCCGGAGCCCCATTTTCAAAGGGTTGTCAACGTATCTGTAACCCGGGGTGTAGTAATGTCCATGGGCGGCGGCATTCACTTAACATCAGGTGACCCGTCTGCTCGTTTGACAACTTTTCGCATAAAATAAAAAAAAAAATAAGTTTTGCGTATTATATACTAATAGATCGGTAGTTGTTCGAGAAAGCGCAAACTTTCAAGCATATTGCATATAGTGTGCGCGCAAATTGAACGTACAATAACACCTAAGACCTCATTAATAAATTACGCACAGGTACCGTCGCCCATGGACATTAAAAAACCGTCATCATAGGCACGTCTATACATAGTATAAAACAAAGTCATCCCACACTGTCTGTCTGTCTCTATGTATGCTTAGATCTTTAAAACTACGCAACGGATCTTGATGCGGGTTTTTTTACTAAATAAGAGTAATTCAAGAGGAAGGTTTATATGTATAATACAATGTACCCGTGCGAAGCCGGGGCGGGTCGCTAGTTAACAATATTTAAAAGACCGGGCCTTGGTTACTTTATTAACTGGACGAAACGCAAAAGTATAATACTTACATACACTGGTCTTCTGTGGTGTTAGGACGAGCATGTCCCTTCGTGCAATATCGGGAGCCCCGCGTGGATTTTACATAAATTAATTACCTCTTAAAACCTTCAACTGTGTAATAAACTCCACGTGTTCATTGATTCCTTAAACGTCACCATATTGATGGTTCATAACGTCAACTAAAATCAAAATCCCTAAGCCATAAACAACAAGCGTACCAAGATACCATCAAACCCTAAGTCTAAGACCTAAGCCGTTTTTAGTCAAACTGAACTCTCAATATTTAACCTCTCACGGTGAAGATAGACATACTAATACAGATAAGGTGCCTCATCATTCCTCAATAAAATAAGTGCAACCAGTCGCCAAAAGTCGCCAGGAGAATCAAAGACATTCGCACCGAGGAAATCGACTCTTGCGGTGAGTGAGAAAAAAGGGACACGTACTATAATTACAGGACAGCATTAGGTGGATTAGCATTAGCTCTTTTAAAGTCCGAAAAACGGAAACTTGGTGTACCCCTGGGAGGAAACCTGCGAACTCACATTGAGGAGCAACGGCTCAGGGTTGCCACGAGGAAATAACTTGGCAGCTTACTGATCGTGTATATTAAACCAATGTGTTGAGGAATGATCAATTTAATATCGTGCGCGCGGCAACCCTAGCGGCGTCACGTAGGCTTGGCCTCCTCGCGACCGAGGGCGCGCTAACGCAACCAGCTGTTCCAACGTTCCGCGACGACCACAATGCCGCACGGCAACAAGCCGTCACGAAGGTTCCAAAGGAAAATTTACAGAAAAATATTCGAGTTCTCTTTTCAAAAACCTACAAATGATAGTATAACCACAAAAGCATAGCAAATGTATATATTCGTAAGTTCTCCTTTCAAACACTTACAATTCACACAGTGTAACCACTTAAGTACGGCAAATGTATGTATTGGGAGTAGTTTCGTATCCGAAATTATGTGTATTTTGTGCACCCAAACCACAGTAGTAGGAATTAGTTGGGCCACGCAACAGTCTTATCTTTTGCACGAATGGGCAGGTCCACCCGGGTAAGTACCACGACCTAACAGAAGAACAGCGTGCAGTGAAAGTGTTATAGTTCTGCGTTTCGTCCGGTGAGTGAGGTATCCCGGGTCCACTTTATTAAAAGGTATCGCAATAATCGTAATAAATCGTATTAAACGCATCGGCATTCTACCGGTGTTGCATAGTCCATAGACAGGTAAACCACAAGTTCGCTTGCCACCATCTTACATTAAAAAAAGTGTTTTTACACAACCCGTGTCGACGCGACTTTAGAGGTCAGTACTTAGGTTTTGGGGACCGACCGCCTGAGTGACGTCAACCATTCCTGTGATCGCATTATTTTTTAACTCCTGGCGCTAAAAGCAATAGCTTAGCAACTGCGCCATTTTTTTTTATGTGAAAAGTTGCCAAGCGAGTAGACGGTTCACCTGATGTTAAGTGAATACCGTCGCCCATGGACATCTACTACACCCGAGGGTTCCAGATGCATTGAGAACCTTTTGATAATTGGGCTCCGGTCACCTCACTCACCAGACGAAACGCGAAAGTATTATACTTCCACTTTAAGCCGGTCTTTTGTCGTGGTACTAACCCGGATGAGCCTGCCCATTCGTACACTAGCCGGGGCTGCTACGTGGCCCTACCACCGTGAAAATCCAGACCAGCCAGACATCCGACTGTATATGAACCAGTATTTAACCAGTCAAACAAAGTCATCGCCTTATTAAATACTTTATAAAACAAAACAGTCATGACGTACCAGTTTTATAGATAATGCATAATATTGATAGAAAGTACAAACAAGATCTCATATAATTTACCCATTACACAGCGATAGTTCAAAGTGATCGAAATATGACAGAGATAAATTAAAGAACCCATGTGAACGCTACTTGGCGATCGCTGAGAACACGAACACCAACTTATTACACATTTTATAATCTATGTTCGGGTTTCAAAGTATGATGTAAAACCTACAAATTCTGACGGCACCTACTAAAATAACGACAACGTTTGTTGGTCGAACAGTAAACCACAATATTAATTCGTGGAAGTAACGGTTCATCAGGGTAATGCGGCGTTAAAATCGACTCGTTAATGAGATCATGGGCCTCACGCACACTGCCCCATAAAAATCACAACACCAATCCAACACACCAACGCCAATATCCTACGCACGTCGAGAGTCCAATAGGCATAACACCACGCGCCATTGTATATTCAACGCAACGGGCCTTGACAGAGAAATTCCTGCATAAAAGTTCAAGGGGAGCCATTGTTGTTGGACAAACGAACGGATTTACTGCGCCGATGTACTTTTACCGTCGTCTTGTCGGCTTCCTTTTGAGAACTTTCTCTTGCACGAGAGCTCCTAAAGGAACAAAGCCGTTCCCTTTCAGCCGGCGCTTGGAAACCATCGTAGCAAATCAATACTGCCGGCCCGAGAGTTTAGAGCGAGGTCTTGAGAGGTCTTCGGTTCGATGCTCGGCCTTAGCCTACTTGAGTGACGTGAAGGGGCCTGAGCTTTGCCTCTACCCCCCCCCCCCCCCCCCCCCTCCAGCCGACGTCCCCAACCACGCCGTGTGGTTCTCAGCGATCGAGGCACTTGAGTGGAATAAGGTCAACAGGGTCACCATGAGTTTTAGTAATGAATACGGATAAAATGTTTAAAATGTCTCTTATTTCTCAATGGTGTTTTCTTTTTTCTGACCAGTAAACTTCGATAGGTCTTCTTTCAAATTTAATGAATCAAACACCATGTTACAAGAGAAAAATAGATAAGAAGAATAAAGCGTTTTTAATTGATTAAAAAAAAAACGCGTATAGTAAAAATTTTACTCTCATATATTTTTCAAAAGGTGCCAAAAAAAAGAAAAAAATTCAAAAATGTTATTGGTCTCGTCTGGTTATTGCGGTCGAAAGCTTCGTACGCAGACTGGAACGTTAATATATTAAGTGAAAACGGACTGTCCGCAATCCCATCAAAATGTTGGATCACTTCAAATTCCAACATACTATAAATTCATACATGTATCGAACAGGCGCCGTGTTATGGATATAATCAATATAACCGGTGTACGTTTTCACTTTATACAGATGTGTACAGTTTTACTATGGAGACCATGTAACTGGTAGGACAAACGCTTTCGTAATTAACAACGGATACCTGCACACTTATTAAATATTTATATACGAATGCATTTATTCAATATTTTTATTTTATTTATTTGATCTTTATTAAAACAACACAAAGACGGACAATGCCTTTAACATTATCTTCTATGAAATATTATAAAACAAACATCTATTATATAGAAATTGAATATATCGAATTTATTTACAATTTCAGATAGCTACATAGCTTGCTTGCTTATTTCTTTCAGCCTGAATCGATTATTATTACTGTAAGTACGGTTATAGAGCAAAAGGCATTGCCTTATTGTTCATTAACATGCCATTAAAAGTTTCTATGGTATTTTAGGAGTGATAGCTGTGTCGGGCCGCTCGCTTTTATACTCGAGTACCAACGAAATTTTTAAATTTAAAATGCTGACTTATCACATGCTCAGCGGTAATAGGAAACACCGTGAGATCACATGTTTTCGAAATAATAACGAAAAAAATATTTCGGAGATATATGAAGTCCGCCAATCCGTAGCCGGGCTGCGTGGAGGACTATGGCCTAATACCCTCTGTACTAAGGTTTTTTTTTTTTTGTTTTTTTTTTTTTTTTTTTTTTTTACTTTGGGATAACATTATCCTGTATTGCGGGGACGTTTTAAAAACATGTGCGAAACAACTATCCGTGGGTAACACAAATAGTTGTCCCGTGTGGGAATCGAACCCACGACCCCCGACGCCGAAGCCGATGCCTTGGCGACTGCGCCACGGTGGCTTCTGTCCATTAGTGGTATGAGTATAGGCTGATACTTTACTTTTTATGGACCGCCATGGAAACCGTGGAAACCGTTCCATCAGTACTTGAAACTGGTAACAATAAATTGTGATTATTAGTGTTATTAAGTTACCTGTCGCGAATTAAGATATCTGTATATATAGTGATACCGTAGTATCCACGAAACTGCTTCTACTCCTCTTAGTATGTACCACATGTTGCGGAATATTGCGTTTTCGTGTTCCCGTGTCCCCGGCAGGTTTTAATAGGTACCCGTCGAGACTCCCAAATACCTCTGCCCGTCCCCCGATCCCATGGCACGGGATCCATAAACGATTTTTCCCAAGTTAAAAAAGGTAAGTACCAAATACTCACAAAAATAAAAAGAATACGTCTGCGTTTCGTCTGGTGGGCAGCCCGACGCCTAATTGCCATATTTGTAAAGCCGACGGTTCACATGTTCAGCGATTACTGCCGCCTATAGATGTCTACAACACCTGTAGGGCTTCTGTTGCATTGCCTATGTATAAAACAGTGCGCCCCGGTTACCACTCACAGGGGTCACAGGTTGCAAAAGTATAACTTCTACTTCACGCCGGTGTTCTACAAGGCCTTACCTGGACGCAGCCTGGCCACAAAACAAGGTGCACAGTAAGTGTAAAAGAATTCTGCTACCACACGTTTACCAACAGTTTTAGGACACTTACATATTAAATGGGCTTACAATTTTTCTAGCGTCTACTTGTCTGCTATATGGCACACAGTAATACTTGTTTTTCGTAAAGTTATTGCATAAAACATGTCCGTGCTACGGTATGCGCCTCGGCATTACACAAACCCGAACTGCCAGTTCAGTCCTGGTAGCTAATCAACGCGATATATGTATATATTGTCAATACTTAAGCTTTACAGACAGATGAGCTATGAATTCTCTTTCGTAATATCGAACGAAAGAGAATTCGTAAATATAAAATGAAGAAACATCGGATAGCGGCAAAAAAAATCTGCAGTAGATAGTCTTAATAGTCGAATTCTAGCATGACGATCAGCTCTCCTATACCAGAAGGTAAAAATTATTCTATACCGGTAAATTATACTCTTTTCGCGAAATTATAGTTGCGATTCCGCCCTGGAACACTTGATGAAAATATAACATGTTCTGTGGACTGACAAACGAATATTTTACTAAATCATGTTATAATAATACCATATTCTTAATAAATAATTTGTTTATGTTGCTATAATCACCAAATATAACATTTACACAATATAAAGTGATAGAAATAAACCTTAAAAACAAATTATATCATAGAATCAAGTTAACTCAAAATTCAACCGAAGTTGTGGGGCTCCGTTGTGGGGCTCCTACCAAATAAAATTCTGAATTACGTTTATATTAAAACGTAATTCAGAATTTTATTAGGTAGATATAAATTATGCGAGGATTTGAACCGGAAGATAAAACCTAAGCGACCAGACTTGAAAAAGAATCGACGAATGAAAGAACACAGGCTTTTATATGTTAAGTTCATGACACGGCAGTGAATAGATTTCACAACGACAATGCAAATAGTGAAGACGTGGCTCATAATAAATAAGTGCCGGGCGTAAGTCGTCGCGGGCCCGTGTAGGCGCAGATAACATAGCTGTCCTTGATGCCTTTTCCTCGACTACTGGCGATGGCAATAGGGTCCAAAATCGTACGGAAGCGGCCGCCAATCACTCACGGCCGACCTTGGCAGAGACAAAGAGCGAGTAGCGCCGAGCTCACGATTGCAACGATAAAATACACCTAAACGGCAAGCGCGTGCGCCGAATGGCGAAGAAGCGGGGACAATGGGTACCAGCGGGGGCCGGTGGTGGCGCCCGCATGCAGGATGCGGGCCACGCGATGGTCGATGGCTTCCATATTCATGGACGCGTCACGCGGCCGCCGCAAAGCGACTCGGCGAGTATTTTACTTCCCATATACTGTACACTTTTTTTTCTCGGCAAATTAGCGAATTTGTCGCGTGATCATTTATGGCTTTTCTGGTGGGGTAGGCAACGCCGCCCCTGTCAATTAAATAGGGTCATCCCGTTTAAGTCTCTTGACCAACACAGACGGGTCCAGCAAATCAGTTACGAGTGGATTTTGATATCGTTAACGAGTACACATTTAACATTTACACGTCTATTATTCAGTTCGTTGATATTATTTTCAAAGACATCGCAGTTTCTGAGCTTCTTGCAGCCGCAACGGGTCGTGGGTCCTATTCTCACAGAAGATTTGTGCGACCACAATTTGGCCGGAATAGGGTGTTTATTCCCAAGGGATTGATTGAAGAGGATTGATGTCACGCAGGCGGCATTAATAGCATGATTCAAATGAGTGGAATATGGGCGGGAGAGAGAGTAAAACGGCTTTATAAGTTGGCATCATCGAATGAAGGCATTTTAGGACCGATAGGATCCTTAGGATAGTCTAGTAGGTATTATGGGACACAACATCAGGTGAAAGGTTCCATTTGGTAAGGTTGTTTATGGACGAATCCAGGGTGATACGTCATATATGATGTACATGTTACTTTCACGTTTTTTTTCTGACACGCAGCTCTAAACCATTGCTTGCATAGCGAAATGTCAACTTAAGTAAGAATGACCCATGGACATCCGAGAATTGGCTCTCCGACTACCTCTATAATTGCATATAGCGGGAAAGTGTATATTTTTTGCACCGGTCTTCTGTAGGACCATGATAGCTTCCCTGAGTGATCTCGCTAAAAACTAGGCTAGCACGGGCTTTACACGGATTAATTAACAAAGAACAACCCATTCATTCGATAACCATCAAACTTCACAGAATCACCTAATCTACTCTGATGATTGTCTGAAAATGTCATCAAAATCGGTCCAGCCGTTCTGGAGTTCATAGGGAACATTCACGTCGATGTTTGTATACAAAGACAGTTGTTTCAAATCAAACTGATGTGAGGTTTGTTTTACGATGCCACTTTTCTGTTGCGCTCGTGAAAAACACCAACCAAGCTGTTCGCATTTCGACTGGCGTTATTTTCTCGATCGCGACAAAACGAGACGAGGAAAGGTCGACATGTAGCTCAACTTAAACGCGCCGCAAATGAATAAACACGTGAGTACCAACAAGACCTGTTTGTACATATGACTAATCGAACAGACAATGTGGTCGTGACCGAGTGTAATATATGTATAATACATAGTACGTGTGCGAAGTGTATACACACAGTGAAATATGGCCTGGTCACGCGATCTATTCGCAACACCAGGCGAAATTGCGAGGCCTCTAATAGGAATGTCGGTTAGTTGTAATATATTGCGCAAATTCTAATCGTGTATAGATTTTATTGACAAAATCTTCCTAATCTCCAAAATCAAAATTTTCCTCAAATGCATTTCATAATTAAGGTTCCGTACCCAAAGGGTTAAACGGGACCCTATTACTGTTTGTCTGTCTGTCTGTCACCAGGCTGTATGTCATTAACCGTGATAGTTAGAAATTTGAAATTTTCACAGATGATGTATTTCTGTAACCGCTATAACAATGAATACTTCTTTTATATAACAATAAAACGTTTCTTCTTATAAATGTTTAAGTGGGGCTTCTATTCAGCAGACATAATTTTTTTTTTTGCTGTTTTTATAGATTATGGTACGGAACCCTTCGTGGGCGAGTCTGATTCACAGGTCAAAACTAGTCCAGATTGCAGTACGTATATTCTGATGTCTTTATTCGAGGCTTTATACG